AGCACTTTTTAGACCATAATATTGTTTGTTCCTTAATTATCTCTGTGATGCTGAAAATACATCTAAATACAATGTAACTAGTTATTTTTTATCTCTTCTTAGACCACAGACTTAATGAACTTATTAAACTGAGTCGTTATTGAAAATGGAGAAACGTCTTTCTGTGGATTTTTACTGATAAAAAGAAATTTCCAGGGGACCCAGAGTTACTAGCCATGGTGCTTGTAGATTTAAATTTAGATGATCTTTCAAATATTATTATAATTTAACCTATTTTAATGGAAAACATTTTATAGGAATTCTTTCATATAAGGTTCAACTAGCACATCTCCAGTGATTTCATTTTCCTCTGTTTTCTTTAGCAACAGTCCAGAATGTCTTCAGACATAAATCAGCTAGCACAGTTTAAGTCTATTATTAAGGCTGTAAAACTATTCTTAAGGGAGCCACTAATCCAGATTGCAAACACTTTCAAACTGCTGGGTGAATTGATTTATTTTAAAATACCACTTTGTTCCACAGATGCTCGATAACCTATGACATGAATAACTGTTCAATAAAAAATTGAGAGAAGTTGAATAGAGTCAGCTGTGTGTGTGTGTCTGTGTGCATGTGAAGTGTGGAAAAGAATGTCTCATATATCTTATCAATCTGACACTTTCTACCTTTCTGAAAATTAAGGTAATTAAGCTGTCTTAAGCATAAGAAACATTTTCTTCTTTATAAAGTTTTCCAGTCTTACTATTATGAAGATACACTTTTAGCTTTTTTCAACCATATTGTTTGATAAATATTTGGAAAATAATATAACTTAAAAAAAGATGAAGTTTTAAATGTATATGAAAATTGTTGTTGGAGTAGCCATATGAATTTTTCATTTCCTTATTGACCTATATAAATATGTTTCTAGAATCATTTCATGTACAATATGTGTCTTGGTCCATTTAGGCTGCTGTAACAAAACACCACAGGCTGGGTAATTTATAAACAACCAAAATCTATCTCTCACAGCCGTGGAGGCTAGAAGCCTAAGATCAGGGTGGCAGCACTGTCCAGTGAGGGTCCTATTCTGGTCACAGACTTCTCCTTGCATCCTCACATGGTAGAAGGGGCCAGGAAGCAGTGTGGGATCTCTTTATAAGGGCACTAATCCCACTGATGAGGGCTCCACCCTCATGACCTAATCACTTCCCAAAGGCCCCACCTACAAATACCCTGGGGAATTAGGATTTCAACGTATGAATTTTGAGGGGACACAAACATTCAGATCAGACCATGGCAATATGCAAATATATTTTTTCATTCTCACAAACATTAGTGTTAAACTTTGGTTTTTCAAGTTAATAATTATGTTAGGCTTCTGACAATAAAAGTACAAAAAGTCAAGCCAGAGTTCTCCCATTATTCATAGAAATAGTGAAAAGTAATTCATAGAAGCAGTACAGAATAATAAATCTCCGCTTTGGCTTAAATACCTATTTTGTTTTTCAGATTTCACAAAACTTTAACTGAGGAAATTTCACCCCCAAGAATTTGATTATAGCACCTTGATTTCTTGTGAAATATAGTCACTGGTAGAGGACCTGCACCAAAATATGAGTCATTCCTTTTTCATACTTATGCTTCACTTTTATATAGCTCCTCATAATTATTTATTTTTCTTTTCTCCCTTTTGTGGTATTTTCATATAAGATTATGAACCATAATATTTACTGAGCACTTGCTGAGACAGTCACTATATTATGCACTTTTCATGAGCCATCTATTAGATTTGCTTGGAAAAACACTTTGAGCAAAGTAATAATATAATTATCATTTTTCAGATAGGGAACTGGGGATAATCTTTTAAGTTACATAACCAGGAATACAGAACTGGTAAGTGGTTGAACTTGTATTTAAACCCAGCTCTATCTGATGCCAGAATACTTGCTTTTAACCACTCTATAATCCTGACTCTACGTTCAGGAAAAGGTCCTACAATGAAGACACATTCGTGTATCCTAGCACTACTCTATTTCCAGTAGGTCATGATGTCATGTAAGGAACACAGTAGAGTTACAACCAGGTGATGAAATGGCACCAGGAAAATATATTTATAAGTTGACCTTCTTTTAAAACACAGAGGCACACACATGTGCGCATACACACATTCAGTACCCAGCAATAGAATAACTCAGTTTATTACCAATGTAAATGATGTTATGGATCATCATTCTTACTAGGATATATTAATATTATTATTATGTGTGGAAGGTTACAGGTGACATGTTTTCTTTATATATTAATGTGTTATATGAATTTGCACATTTCTATGAGGTAGAAGATGGGAATCATTGTTCTCATGTTACATAGTGGTTACACAGTTTATTGTAGGCACAAAGCTAGGAAATATCCAAAATATCAATCAAATTTGTGTATCTTAATGCAGAAAAATTCAAAGTACTTTTTATTATGTCATACTGGAAGGATGGGAGAAAGGCACACAAATTCCAAACGTGTAGAGAACAATCTATGTATTGTCAGTTTAGATTTCTTAAAATTGATCCCCAAATCCTTCTAATTCCCTTTTTCTTTAGTTAAACTGGTATATAAAAAGAGATGTTACTTTTATTGAAATAATGATAAAAATGCCTTGTGAGTCCTATGGATTTTTTTGTATAAATCATGATATCATTTCCCTAGGGAATTCAAAACAATGGTGAATAAGGGATCCAGTATTATTTAGCTAATATATACTTGATATAATTCCTGCTACACATAACTAAGAGGAAGCATTCACAAAGACAAATATTGTTGTATCCTCTACCTGGAAGAGAAGTGAATCGCCAGTCTCTCCCTTAAAATATTTATTAACTTACAGTTCCATGACTTTAATTGTCAGTGACATTATATGGGCATATCTTGAGTATCTGGTCTGGCAAGATTACTATTTCCACATATTTGTAGGAATCAAACTATTACAGGGACTTAGACTAGAAAGATTACTTCAAATAAACTTAATATTGTGATTCACGAATGTCTGCAAGCCAAGTATCTAAATATGAATGAACTAACATGTTTTCATTTTTGCCACAAAGTACACATAAACTGAAATTACTGAACAAAGATTGATATTCTTTACTGATGGTAGATATTACTCAAGGGTTTATGTATTTCACTTTCAGAGAAGAGGATTTTCAGTATATTATCAACCAGATAAAACTAGAGTAAGTTAAGACTTATAAAGGTATCCATTACTGCAAAACCATGGTATTAAAATTTTTAATACTTCCAACCTAAATTTCTATAGCTAAAATGAGGTTTCTATATTTTGGGTGAAATGTTCTCTTATCCCAATGGGATTAACATATGCACACTACTATATATAAAATAGATAACCAACAAGGGCCTGCTGTATAGCACAGGGAGCTATATTCAATATCTTGTAATAACCTATAAGGGAAAAGAATCTGAAAAATTATATGTATAATGTATATAATTTGTTAACCTTCATAGCTTCATGATAAGAGACTATTTCTCTCTTGTTTAGATTGCATTATTTATATATGTATATAACTAAATCACTGTGCTGTACACCTGAAACTATTGATAACACGACATTGTAAATTAACTATACTCTAATTTTTTTAAAAAAAAAGAAATAATTCAATCTAAACAAGAGAGAAATGTCTCATCATGAAGCTATGAAGGTTAATCAAATTGTTTTGATATCACTCTTCTACAGTACTGTTTTGGAACAAATGTGAGTGAATATTTACATTTTCTATTGAATTTAAGTGTGAGATGATTGCATAGCTTGCCACTCGGAATTGTGTGTAAGGCATTGACTGAGCCTCCATAATTCATATTCACTTTTAAAGGATCTTGTTGGATCTGACTCCTGACCTTACTTAACTTGGTAATTTAAATTCTATTAGTTTGGAAGCCAGCGACACATGCATGTTGTAGCTGAAGCTCAAACTTCCATTCACAGATGGGAAACACAGCAGGATTCCTAAACATGGCTCTTATGCAGAATAAAATGCAGGAAGCTGTCCGTTTGCATGTGCATGCTTTAGAAAGTAAAGCTTTCTGCTTTGAACCGTGTTGCAGTTCCTAATGACTTCCTGGTATGAAAAGCAAGAATTTTGAAACAGGAAACTTTTGGTTACTAAGGACCTATAATCAAAGGAAAGCTTCTTACTTTAAAATCAGATTTAGTAGTAAAAGAATAGATCAAAATAGACTTTATGAATATGTTCATTGTTTTTCCCTCCTATGGAGAATAGCCTGATTTAAGTTTTATTTGTGATTCTAGAATACATTTGTGAAATGCTAATATTTACAACACATTTTCACTTAGAACACTGAGAACAGTTCCTGAAATATATTGTAATATTTCCATCAGAAAACATTTTATGTGGTGAATAATTAATGCATGAATTAAATAAAATGTACTTTTTGTTTTCCTCTGGGTCATATGAACAAATAAAAATTTTCACATTTTATAAAGTTCAGGCCAATGCCTTCTTTAGAAAGAGCAATAAATTTAAAACCTTAAAAAATAATATTATTAATTCCAAAAGTAAAACAACTTTTATAATCCTTATTTAAATTTCATGTGAAATACTAGGAGCAAATTGAGAAAAGTCCATTACATTGACTTTATTTGAATAAAGTTATAAAATATCTAGTTCTTTTGCCTGTGGTTTCAAACAACTCTATGCTAGTAGTCATTTGATAAGATAACTCTGATACATAAAAAATTAAATTATTTTTATAAAGAAACTTATATTGGAGGATGCAAGGATATTTTATCTGGTTCAAATATAAGTTCAAAAAACATATTTTCTAATTTTTTAGTAGCAGAAAATTAGTATCAATGATTACGATTTTGCTCTTTCTGTAAAAACTCTCATGAGATATATAATTATGTTAAGATATTAGCAAAAAGTAAGAATATAACTCCAGGCTACATGATTCCTAAAGTATCTAATTACGAATATGCATTTCTTTTAAAGTCTCAAATATCCATCAGTGTGGAAGAGTGGGAAGACACCAAAGATGCCAAAGAGCAAGGTCACCACCGAAGTAACCACCGCAACTCAACATCCAGTGACCAGTCCGACCATCCCCTGCTAAGGAGGAAGAGCATGCAGTGGGCCCGAAGACTGAGCAGAAAAGGTCCCAAACACTCCGGTAAAACAGCTGAGAAAATAACCCAGCAGCGCCTGAACCTCTACAGGAGGTCAGAAAGACAAGAGCTTGCTGAACTTGTGAAAAATAGAATGAAACACTTGGGTCTTTCTACAGTGGGATATGGTATGCTCTTTACAAGTATTGTATGATGTGGACTTGTGATTTCTTGCAGTTAGTTGTAAGAGTTGACTCTAATTTAGTGACTTAAGAATCACATTTTTGTTTCACAGGTCAGTTTGAAGGGACTAGTAACACATATCTAATCTCCTAGAGACAATTATAACAATGATATTAAAAAGAGAACGCTGAAAGTTTTAAGTATTTGCTCAGGTCTCTAGACACTGTGCTGAACCCATTACAAGAATTATCTTAATTTTAGTTTTCACAAAAAATCTTCCATTTTAGAGATAAGGAAACTAAGTCAAGTAACTTGCTAATTAGCTTGTTAATAGCCTGACTGAGATTTGTATCCAATTCTGTCTGGCTCCAAAGTCTGTTTTACACACACACACACACACACACACACACACACACACACACACAAAACACATTTTATTTTAGGGCCAGGGATAAAATAAATCTGTGGCATTGGCGAGTAACTAAATGGACGAGCCACAGATGAACCAAAATGTTTCTATAAAATTTGTTCAGTTTGTTGTGATCCTGAAACAAAGAATCTTCAAAAGCTTTAATCTGAAGCTCAAATAGTGCTTGACCTCATGCAGTGCAGATATATCCCAATGATTGTTATGATCTTATGTTGATATATGATTGTAATATATATATATTGCATATAGCACAGCTTAAATAAATAATGCAAAGACAATTTTAAAATATGTCATTTATCACTATAAGAATTTTATTTAAAGGAAATTTAGTCAACATATGAGAAAATCAAATAATAAATAAGGTGTTTTAGTTTGTTATATATATATACATATATATGTATATATATACATAACTTGGGTAAATCAGGGGCTAAGATGTCAGTATCATGTAGGCTTTAAGGATAACATAGAATAAATGCCATATTTGCCCCCATCTCATCTTTATTATTAAAGTCTCAGCTTGAAACAGTGTACATAGGGAGAAATTTTAATCATTGAATTGGATGGAGTTTAAAAGACATTATCTGTGTTTCTTTGAACAAGAAAAGGAAGCATATTTACTGAGTACCTAATCTATGCCAGGAATTGTGTTAGGTGCTTTATGTATATTTTCTTATTACTCCTTATAAGCACTGATTAGATGTGTGTCCCATTTTGCCCTTCAAGAAGTTGAAGTTCGAGAGGTAAAAGATCTTGCTCGAGGACATAAACTTGAAATATGTTGAAGTCAGGATTCCATAGGTACTTGAAATTCATAATTATATTTCACTTACTTAAAATGTAGTACAGACTCATTCATGATGAATAATTTTAATATAAGCACAAAATGTCTTATATTGAGGCAAATTAAAAGAAAAAATCTTAATTTAAAAATTATATTAGGAGCTCTTTGCAAATTTAATGACATGAAGTATGATTGTACTTCTTACAGTCCTATAATTACATGTACTTTTTCTAGTTATTATTCAGGTATTTTTTTTTCTTATTTTTAAAGTTCTAGTACGTGATTATCCATCCAAGTTCCAGCTGTGTTTCATGAACATTATAACCCCAGGCTGGTCCTGAAGGCAGTGTGGCAAATAACAGTTTGACTCTGAGAGACACAAGATGCATGAACTGACTGCATGGGAGAATCATCAGGGAAGCATATTATGTTATTGCTAATAAAACTTCTATCACTTACCTTACATTTAGCCATTCTCTTTTTTTTATGTAAATTTATTAATTTAATTCTCATGCTAATTCTTACAGGAAGGAAGAACAGACACTGTCCACCGTTTCTTCTCTTTTCTTTCCTTCTTTCTCTCTCCATCCATTCTATCCATCTATCTACCCATAGATCCATCAATCCATTCTAAGTCCTGTATTGGGACCCTCCAATAACATAGCGATTATGAAAACAGCATTTGGAATCTAATGCATCATCGACCTCTGAACTTCTCCATTTATTCCTAACTCACAATAATTCATCCATTCAACAGATATTATTAGGTTACCTTCTTAGTGTCAGGCACTGTTCCAGGTACTCGGAATAGACCAATGACCTATTCAGACAAGACCTCTGCATTTATGGAATTTATATTCTAGTGTCAGCTGGTAGATTTGTTGTATTATTTAACTTCTCAAGGCCATTTTCTGATTTGTGAAATAGAAATAATAATACCTGTGTTGTAGGTTTTGTTGTGAAGGGCAAATGGGATAATGAATAATAATGTGCATAGCCCAGAACTGGCATTCAGCTAATCCCACAGATCTATCGTATATCTGTCTAAGTACTGTGTGTCTGTTTGTGCTTTATACATAAAAAAAGTAATTTTTTTTTGCCCACCTCAAAAAACAAACAAACCAACACATTTTGCACCCTTGGGGGCAATGTTGTCTTCAAGCAGAATACATGCTATGAGGCAATTATTGTTTTACATGTTTGCCTTTCTTTTTTCTTTTTTGGGGAAAAAGGAAATGTCTTACTCATTCTTTAATCTTTGTATCCCTAAACCAATTACACATTTCCTGACACATAGGAACCCAGTAGCTGCATGTTGATTGCATGAACAAATGGAGTGCTTACAGATGAGAAAACAGGGTCTCAAATATAAACGATTTACTTGGATCTCCCAACCTAGTATACACTCAAGTCAGTCCTTTAACTTGTGACTTTTGACTCCATATGTTTTTGTGTATCCACTGGACCACTTATTTTTCCTACATTAGTATCAATATTTTGTAGTGCTTTACAGATTTGAAATATTTTTAAGTGCTTTATACACAATGCATGATGATTGATTTAAACACAAGTCATAATCTGATTTTTCTTGAGTAGGTGTCACCTGATTCAAGAGAATGAATAGATTTCTTTTGACCTATTGGATATGAGACAGAAAGAAAAGAAAAGTGAGTCAAAAGATAACTTTTGAGGGCTCTAGCTGGAGCAAGTAAGTGCATGGTGGTGACATTCACTGAGCTTAGAAGAAGAGGAATACTTTGGGGTGAAGAGAATACATTTAATTTGAGGGCCTGGAAGACTTCAAATGGATAATGATCCATAAGAGACTAGATTTCTGCTGTCTGGTACTCAAGAAGAACAAATGAGATGTGTATATAGACTTGGGAGTCATCCGCCTATAGATTTTGAGTAAGGTCATAGAAGTAGATGGAATAACCCCAGGTGAAGGACTACAAGAGAACTCTAGAAAATACATTCCTGGAATGTTAAGGGAAGAATTATTTTCTTTATAAAACAAGAGGCTGAAGTGTCTAGAACTGAATTACCCAAAAGATGTGTCATAGTACAATAATATGCTATCAGTTGGTTACATGTTTTATTGTTACATTGATTCTTTATACCTTTCAAAGGCCAGGTGGGGCCTGGGTTGGTCAGAAGCTGGTCACTTCTAGTCATAAGCAGGTTTGTCTGCTACCCCAATGTAATATAAAGTTGTATGTCCTGTGTGTTTTATGATATGAACAAAATGTTGAAATTTGACAGTAGAGAAATGGGAGGGAATGATTAATAGTGCAGAAAGTATAGTGATATGTCATTGCTGACCTTGGTGAGGATAGTATCAGTTGGATAGCATGTGTGAAAACCAGATTTGAGTAGCTTTAGGATGAATTAAGATCTAGATATAGTGGATTTCATATATTAGGGACCTCAAGATATTGAAATTTTAGTCTTCTGTCTTATTGCTCCATAATCTGTTGTTTCCATTGCCAAAGTCATATCACGGTACCAGACACATGTTGAAATTCCATCCAGGAGGAAGGAGGCAGAGACCAGAGAAGAAAGGGTTGTCTCCTCAATTAAAAGATATTACCAAGTAGTTGCATACACCATGTCCACTATGTCCCATTGGCAAGCAAGTATGTTTCATTTTCAGTGGCCTGAATCTAATATTTAGTAAGACAAGGCAAATGCCTTTTGAAAGACAACTATTCTCTGACTCAGTGGATGTTTTTAAAGAAATTTCATTGTGAAGGAGAGGTGAGAAATCTGGAAGAATCTGGATGAGAAAGTGGAGAGGGAAGAGGGACTATTTTTCTTTTTTTTTCTTTTTTTTAAGGTCAGAGAGGTAAGAGCGTGTTTAAATAAGATTAGGCCACCAGTGGGGAAGTTGAAAGAAAATATAGGAAATATATTACAGTTGGAGCCCTTGCTTAGATATTTGGAAGTGAGGAAAAGATGACTGTTTTAAAATGCATAAACAGGTAGGTATTTTGACAGGAAGTTGAGTAATATTTCATGTGATAGTAAGAGGTATAATCGTCTGTTGAGAATGATGGCAAGAGTGGAAGGGTGAGTGTTTTAAAAAATAAGCCAGAATGTTTGCAGCTTCAGAGGAGAAGGTGTCCTTTCTGTGCGAGACTAACATTTCTGTCTTATTCTTGATTTTTTAAAAAAATTTAATATAGAAAATTTCAAGCATGAATAAGTGTAGAAAGAAAAATATAACAAACCCACGTGTACTCATTTTTCTGCTTCAACAATTATCGACTCATGGCCTATTTTCTTCCATGTATATGCCCACCAATTTCCTTCATGTCTCATATTAATTTCAGGTAAATTTCAGACCACATATATTTCAGTAGATACTGAAATATATAGATAGTAAATCTATCATTTAAATACTAGTTTAAAAAATATAGCCACCTACCATTTTCACACTTAAAAATAATTTTAATATCATCGAGTGTTCACTTGTTCAAATTTCCAGTGACCTCACAAATGTCATAAATATTTTAGACTTTATTTAAATTAGGATTAATGAAGGTCTGTGCATGGAGATGGGTGACAAGTTTGTTAAATCATTTTTAATTTCCCTCATTTTGTATTTTTCCTACTGCAATCTATTTCTTGAAGAAACTCACTCTCTGTCCTGCGGTTTCCTAGACTCTGAATTTCCACTCTAAATTGGCCCATTCTATTCCCTGCCTTTTCCTTTTATAACCATTTTTTGTTATTATTATGAACTCCTAGATTTAAATGTATTTTATATGTTTTAAACCGTATGTTATTAG